GGGATTATTTCCCAGCATTCTCATGTCGAGAGCCAGAGTTAATTGTGTAATATTGTTTTTGAAGTCCAGGATGAAATGAAGCATGAATGCTAATGAATGCAGGCTTTGTGTTCATCTGTTCAGACAGCAGCAGGCCCCGCATACGTGTTATGAAAGTTACCCTTTATTTGGCGCAAACACTTAACGAGTTTCCAAATGAATCCTGTTCTCTGGATTAGGTACAAAAACTTTTCTGTTTTGCTGTGTTTCTGGGATGCGGTCTGGATATTTAAGGACCCCAAACTGTCCAAATTGAATTAAGTTAGGGCGATGAAGTAGCGGCGTTTCCGTGTAAACAAATCCATTAGTCATGGTTTCATACTAATTAATATTCTCTCCAGCTCTTTCCAGACCGAGCAGTTTGTTGGACACTTTTGGCCTACACCATCGGCAGCATGAGCCTAACGGGGATCGATCTGTCTCTTAACGGGACGGCCTTATTGAAACCAAATGACACAGAAACACAAGCCGCTCTCTATGGTGAGTAAACCGTGTTTAAACTCATGAACACGATCTACTAGCATTTGACAATCACGACATGTTGTCTTGAACAGTATATTTTGTCATTTGAAGCCAAGTAAATATGCTTACGTTATTTATTTTCACTTTTCTCACACAGAAGTCAAGGTGTTCAACATCACCCTATCATCAATAGCTCTGTGCATCCTGGCAGTGACAGGAATCATCAGCTGTATCTCGTACAGAAGACACAGAAGGTGAGTAAACAGACATACAATGCCACAAAAAAGTGCTGGACACTTAAGCCACAGATAATGTTTTGCATAAATGTCCTTGCGTTAAAAGAATCTTTCAAAAAGTTGAATATTTTGGCAATGAAAGGGCAAATAAACATTTATTTTTGCAAAATATTTCACAAAGTTTGCAGTTTAATTGTAAAACTATAGCTATATTGTTCAAAATTAAAACAAAAAGTACTTTTGAAAGAAAAAAGTAAATCCCCCAAGGAGACATGATAATTGAAGTATGTGAGATGGGAAGAAAAAAAATTATATTTCAATGATTTTGAGTTCTCTCACAAATGTATCGTGCTCCCCTGAGAATTTTTGCATTCACTTCCAAAAGCACTGAAATAGATTTTCCTCCTGCCTCACTATTTCCATCACAGAAGTTTTGCAAGTGAATTCAAAAGCATTGAAATATACTTTGTCATTGCTTTTGAGTTTCCTGCAAAAGCATTCAAATCTAGTTTTTCCTCCTAGCTAATATTATTTCCAATCACACAAGTTTAGCAAATGAATGCAAAGTTTCTCGGGGGACGCAAAATCATTGAAATATAATTAGTTTCAATTCTGCGTTTGCTCACAAAACGTTTGCATTCTCTCACAAGAGTACTGTGCTCCCC